TTCTGTTATGCTCCAAACTGAATAGTCAAGGTGACGCACTGTATTCCCGAAATTCCCACATAGATCAGCATGTGCGATGTCGTCAGTACTAATATTTAGTGTTCCGGTGTTCGCAGAAGTCACATCAGACTATACTAGTAAGTAGAAATATAGAGGCCATATGGATTCGAGAAACTGAGTTCCAATACTATGAACAGTTGTAGTAATTACATACACGTGTTCGTGCATAGGTACTACTATGATACCAGGGCACGTGGTATCCAGACTAAGGATATCAGAACAGTTGAACAAAGGTAATGCAGCGTTTGAGCGGTGCACGTACATTCTGCCCACAGTGCGGCGAAATCGTGAGACATATGTAGGCGACCCCGTTATTTACGTGTGGGAGATATCAACGTGTACAGGCGCACGTTTCGTAAAAAAAAAATGCGGATCTTGCAGTCACCGGTTACTCTCAGTCCGCAAAGGGCCATCCAAGAACCGGTCCGTACAACGTTGACAGTCCGTCTTGGGCGGGGTATTGGCCAGGGCGACCCAGTCCTATACAATGATTTCGCAGTAAGTACGTATATGCAACGCACCTAATCAGACCTAATCAGGAATTGCCTTGCAATGGAGGGACTGGAGGCAGGCCGCGGCATCCTCTTCTAAGCAGCTGTACTTAGTGTGTCAAATTGTAATCAGAACCAAGTGTCCTCGATGTAAAGTCCTTGAGGCCTTGAGGAGCCATATTGAAACGTTCATGCAAGGGCCCGAAGGCAAACCCGAAGTCTTCGCCCAGGTGTAGTAGTAGAGTGGCGCCGTGTCGTGCCATTGACTTCATTTCAGGTAGATGCACATAATGAGCGCACCGGCTGCCTTTGATCGACGAGACCAGGTTCTAGAAGGACAAGTCGTCGATTCTAATTTACTGTGGTGGGTTTAGGGAGAGACCAAGCATGCTTGACTCGTCTGGAAGTGGCGTGGGATCGCAATTCAACCTTGCAGTCGTTGTCCGCCGCATTCACATACTCGTAGGGCGACGAGCCCGCTCTCTGTCTTTTCACACAATACCCGCCGGGTGGTTTACTTGCAGGCCAGTTACCTGAAGACTCGCCAGATATTCTGTTTGAATAGTTTGAACTAATCACGTTTCGCTCGCTTTTGTTCAATCTCTTCACAAAGCACGTTGAACGTAACCAGGCCAGGGCCCTGCCGCTGCATACACCAAATATCACCCGACATTCACCTATCGAACGCTCACACAACACCCCTTTAATTGCTCATATCTAGACGGAGCCATGGCCATCACGTTTGGCTCCTTCGATGGAGTGTGCAGCACGGCTGCTCTCGTCATTTGTCCATTGATGGGCACCTCTGGAGAAGGCGTAGAGCCCACTTGCTACTCACGCAACGTTCAAATCGGCCAGACCCTCATCTTTCAGCCTTGTATGTATTCCATGACCATGAATGTGGTGTACTCACCGATCAAGGCTGACTTTTATCCGCTTAGCTACATGTTTTGTTCACATCGTCGCAATAATCATGACTGCAATTATGATCTACCATATTCGCTCAAAGTACACTGCAGTGGGACGAAAAGAGATTGTGATGTTTTTTTGGATGTACATGGTCATCGAACTTCTCGCAATGTTCCTAGACTCGGGAATCATACCGACTTCAAACGTCAGCTATCCTGTGAGTTATTATGCAAAATCATGTGATGATCTTATACCAAATGTACGTAGTGGTTTGCTGCAGGTTATACAGGTCTAGTAGCAGCTGCCTATTGCTGTCTGCTCATCAACGGCTTCGTTGGATTCCAATTCGCTGAAGACGGGACGCCTCTCTCTCTTTGGCTCCTTCGGATATGCTGTTTCGCCGTCTTCGGAGCATCATTCTTCATCGCTATCGCCACCTTCAAATCTTTTGTTTCATTCTCCCCAACGAAACCTATCGCGCTCTTCGTCATTTACCTCATCTGGCCCATCCTGTGCGTCGCCACATATACTATATTACAGCTCGTTCTTGTATTCCGGACTCTTGACGACCGCTGGCCCCTCGGCGACATCATCTTTGGAATATCGTTCTACGCGATCGCTCAAGTTCTTCTGTTCGCTTTCAGCGTCACCATCTGTGACGCTATCAAGCATTACTTGGATGGCCTGTTCTTCTTCACTCTGTGTGTTTTGTTGAGTGTTATGATGGTCTACAAATACTGGGACAGTATCACGGTGCGTTTATTTGCCAGTCATCCGTTTCACACATCCTTATATAACGTTTTACACAGCGTGAAGACCTCGAGTTCTCTGTTGGATCTAAAGCTGCTGTTTGGGAAGTCAAGGACCCACTTCTCACGGCTTCAGCCACAACTCCCGGTACAGACTACGAGGAGGACGCATCAAGCTACCATGCCGGAGCTGCGAGCCTTGTGGGCGGTGTTAGTGGTACACAGTATTACGGCGGCAAGCAAGCATATGGTGCGCAGGGTGGTTACGGACAAGGAGGCTATGGTGGCGCGCGAAGGGCTTATCCACCAACATCTGAAGGCTATTGAGGACTTTGAAAAGGACTATTACGCAAACGTAGATATGGACGACAGTGAATTCACGGTACTTTCTACAGACACTAGCTTTAATTCACTCTCATGATCAGGAAGCTTACGAGTGAATTGGTCATGCAGATAGATACTCCAGACTATTTCGGAGCGTGCGGCCGCCTGATGACGATGATCTCGCAGGACTCGGATATTGCTCTGGATATCTAGATGAGCACAGATCTGAATATAGATGGAACTTATCTTGAACGTTTCATGCATCGAATCGATGATCACGCCACTTTGCAGTCTGGGATCAAGTGCGAACGCATATATTCCGTACACATTCAATTATATGCTTCGAATCTGATGAACGCGCCGTACCGTCGTAACAGACAATGCGCTGAATATCGAGGGCGTTAAGAATATGGATCAGGCTGTACGCGGGCTGTTCAGATCGCCGTCGTTGACGATATTATATTATTGTATTCTATACGTACGTGTTTCCTTGGAAGATTGCGGCCAAAGACTTGTTAACGACCCCATGCAGCGATGTAGTCCCTGTCAACTTCCGATGATGATCAGATGCGGGTGCCGGAGATGCACCACCATCTGCTTGGCAAGACCACCCAGAGTCCGCAGCCTCAGTGCGTCCGCAGTGCGCACTGCAGTTTGGGTATCGGACCGAGTGAGGGGCTGTCAATTCTGAATTCTCAATAGGGGATGGGGATATGATACAAGGTGATGAGTCTACGAAAAAGGATATATGTAAGGTGTACCTTGAAACAGAGCTACGTTCATAACACCTTCATAAACCCCATGATGAGATATGATCTCATGTCAACGTTGTGCATAACATCGTTGCAAGTCTCCTTTAGAGAGGTTACTTTTCATGGCTGAGGCTAGCCCCCAATGAAAATTTAATATCTTGCATAGGGTTCCGTCCGGGGCTACTATATTTGATCGTCCACCGTCGCATGCTACGCCCATCAACCGCAAGAAAGTGTCGGCACTTGAAAAGCTCGATGGGATGAATACACCGATCGCGCACTTGTGCCATGTTTGTATTGTAATTTGAAGATGGTGAATAGATTATCAAGGGGCAGCCATGTGCATGATGCATGAGTCGTGACGATGATGTCCTTGTGCTGCGTATGAGTAAGACTCTCCGCGCTATACGCCGGCAGATCCATAGCGTTGGTAAGGCCTCGGCCATCAATGACAAGGTACCACCGGTATGCAGGTTTGCATGCAATCTGCTTCCAATAACCTTGAACAGTTTTTCCAGATGCTGTCACAAGATCGAGCCATCGACAGCTTACCTCGTAAGTAATACTGAAAGGAACAGCCACGAATTGATGTGTCCGTTTTGGATAGCTTCGACGAGCTCCTCGAATGCAAAAATAACACCAGCGGATGTGTCAAAATGGCATCTAGTCTTTTGGAGGTGCTGTGCATCCGAGACTATGCGTGCATTGTCCGATCTAAGGCCTAGGCCGCAGAACCATTGTCTTTTGGAAGGTATTTAACCATTTTGTTTCAGGTGACATCAATCACTACGTACTGAGAACAAGAACAGGGATCCGATCTCGAAACGAGACACTTAGTTGCGATGGTTGTTGTATCGCGTCGTTCAAGACGAATCGACTCCCATATTAGAAACCACTATTTCTTCACGTGCTGGAAACGAACAAGATGTCTTAGCGCTCGAGAACAACGCTGCGCCTTGATTATACCTGTCCATCGCTTAACAATGAAGACCTTCGATGGGGTAGGGCAGGGCGGACCGCCTGGGAGGCTCGTATCAAGACAAGCCTGAGTCTCTCACAACTCGAATGTGGCGTTTATTCCGAGATAGCTTGAGTCAACGACTTCAAAGTGGGGCAAAATACTGCATTTGACATAACAAGCTAATCAGTCTGCGTATGAGGAAAGCAATGAACAATCACTGTCTATCGCATTTTCAACTTTCCATAGTCGTGTCGCCGTCGGGCCATGACCGAAAAAAAGACGAAAGTTAGAGGTGAGTCATATAAAGCTCAAGGTTGCGATTGATCGAGTATAGCTGTGACAAGCATAACAACCACATTCGATCATTCGACTGCTCATGGCTTTCGTGGGCAGGAGGAGGTCGAGCTCAAGTTCGAACTGACCGTTGGTACTTTGCATTGCACAAACATCATAGGTTGATTTTTCAACACGTGACTGACGCATGGGGTTTGTTACGGCCGCTGATATCGATAGCCGCTGGTCTGCATTCTCAAGATCTCAAACTCTCAAGTCTAGCAGCGGTAGATGAGGAAAGCTAGGAGCTTACAGCACTAGTGGGTCACTTTTGTACTTGAACACATCTCATATCAATTAGTAGTAAATACTGCATTTGCTCATTCACACCGAATACTAACTGACTTTGCCCTCTTGCTAGCAGCTTGACTGCTCAGTTGACTTTGAAACCGGCCTATGTAACATATGGTAACATTTGCATCTCTGCCGACTTCTGTAGGTGCCGATTAAGCGGCGCGGTAGAAGTGATGGTACGATTGCTGACGAGACAGGATGAATAGTTGAAACGCGGCGTTTATCATTATCGCACCCACACTGGAAACCGGCCAAAATTCAACCAAGTCGGGCCACGAAATCTTTATCTACGAGTTACTCACCATTCAAGTACTCAAGTTCGCCATTCACCGACCCCACTTTCCTTCAGTATGACCGTAGTCTCAAATAGTCCCACCATGTGGCCGTCTATCGGATTTGATCGCGCTGAAAGCTATTATACAGGTTCGTGAAGCAAGCCGGTTGATGTTGGCTCTATCATCGACTTTTTAATAATTTGGTTCCGCAGTTGTGTCCACTGTTGCGGTAATATACGACTGGGGTGAGCAGGACATGGGTTGCCACTAGTTACCAAGGAAGTTGCTGATGTTTCCATGCTACTCCTAAGTACTGACATTCGATCAAGAGGTAGGTTGATGCCATTGCCAGAGCCGCCGTCTCATCACTAATGGTTTTGTAGGTTGAACTAGTTTGGGTGAGTATAGTACTATGTTAGAAGTCCAAGGGCAACTGAATGATTTTCGATGTGAACTCGAAATAGAAGCGACGTTGGTCCGTCATGAGTGTCTTATATCTCGCTGTACGTACCTTAACAAGTTATAATTGGCAGTGCGCTTAACTTACGACATTCCAGTTGCGCTATGGTGGAATAATATACGCTGTGTACGTTTGCAAGGCCAACACGATAGCACTGTACTAATAAGCCATCTCTCGTAACCAGCCTTGATGTGCCGGGTGTGTCTCCCATTCTTCGTGTCTTCTCACATATACCAAACTGTGGCATGTAGCAAATATCACGACACTCTACTTGACAGATGCTGTGAGTAACCTGAGCAATGGGTGCCATTACCGTCCAACTCACAATTCTCTCATGTAGGGGTGAGTGACATTCTCGATATTGTTAATAAAATGTAACATGTGAACAGCTGTAAGACTGGACTTAGTCCCCTGTAATGCTCATTGCTGATTGCATTTTTCAGGCATTTTTTTCGATTTCCAACAATGGTGGGTGTTTATCATCGCAAACATCATCCTGGGCGGTGAGCTACTTAGCTTTATTACACCGCTATTATTAACTTGGCTGAAATACCATGCTAGTGATCATGATTTTTCGGTTGCATGCCATGTATCAGCGATCGAGAAAGATGCTGATCTTTCTCGTTGTATTCTTCTCTACCGTGACGATCATCAGCGGAGTAATCACGGTAATACAAAGCACACATCTTACAGCAGGTAGGCTTCGATAATGCACGAAGGGCTTCAGGAAGGTTAGGCTCACAAGACAAATAACAGAGGAGCTCGTCCTCTCTGGTATTTATCAGTGCGATTACGAGGGAACTAGCCTTCCTCTATCAGCCATCACTTGGATACTCGGCACTGTATGGGAAGTTCTCGCATTATATCTTTCAGTCAGGATTGCTATGAACCATTTCCGTGAACGACTATCGACAGGATCGATTATTGAGGACTGTTTCACGGTGTTAATAAAAAGTCATGTATTTTACTTTGCAAGGTGAGCTCGTGACTTGAGCGACTTATCGTTTTAATGTTGATGTTCTGTATGTTCCAGCTTTGTTGCCGTTGCTTCCTTCCGCATTAGCTTCATCTCTCCAAATTTACCGGTGGGCCCATCCGTTACTGACTCGCATCCATCTGACTGCTCCTCGATTGTGCAGAACGAAAGTTCTGCGGGAGCTGAGCTTTATTACGCTGTTGCGCTACTTTCCTCGCTCTTGCAGATGTTTTTACTGGGACCGCGCCTCGTGCTCAGCGTTCGAGAACACAGCGCTAGGCTCGTGAATAACTTCGACGAAGCAACTGGCGTGACTACACTTGCCTTCCAGCAGAGTGCAGTCGTGTCGACTGGTGGTGGTGTGTAGTAGGGGAAGATATTGATATCTTGGCGTTGACGTATTGTAGGGAGGCTGTTTGGATTTCGGAGTTTCATCATGGTACTGATTGATATGTTTGTCCAATTATGTTTGAGAAATCGCCTCGCCATATGTTTTCATACACATTCAATTATGCTTCGAATCTGATAAACACACGTACCGTCGTAACAAATATTATGCTGGATATCGAGGGTAACGGCAGTATGGATCAGGCTGTCCAGATCGCTGTCGTTGACAATATTATCATATTCTATACAAGCGGTCGCTTTATTACAAAAGCAGACTTGTGCACGCTATATTTGCGCTGTCTTTCTTAGCATTTCCTCCTGCAAATAAGCATAACGTATCTCAACGGCTTTTGACTCGGGATAGTGCAGTATATAGTTGACCACGAGTAAAAGGGTCTGTTGTAAGATTGAGAACTGTGCGAGAGAGAGAGACCTAGGCTGGCAGCCATTGGAAATAGTCGCAAAAGAAATTGTTTGCAATTCACTGTCCAACTGGAGCGGTAAGGATAAAAAGAACACGCAATACGTGGAATGCAGCGGTTCCCGAGATTGTTGAGCAATTGCACTTCGAGAATCGACGACGTAGAGCTGTTATTGTACTCGTACAGTTCTCACCAAGCCCTTTCCCTTTTCGACCGAGAGGTTGCGTTGAATCGCGCACACGCAATTTATCTCGAGATCCAGTCGATGACGAGGGATTCCGGACACAGTAAACATTGCCAAGTAACCTGGTGTTTATCCAGGCGCGTCAATGGGCGCGTGGTCTGCTTCTTTTACGATGTAATAGCAATCAGCGAATCTTTTAGCATTTCATTCAATGTACCATCATCCTACACTCACGGTAGTCACCGGGCAGCTCGAGTGTCTAGAATTTGATCGTTGAATTCGTCGACCAATAGGTTTCGTGACGAAAGGAAAGTAAGTCTGTGAATTGCCTCAATATTCTCAACAGGGAATATTTTGCGGGATGATATAAGTCCATGAAAAAGGTGTCATACCTTGTAAGTTATACTGGAAGGTACATGATTCAGATGTGTCCGTTATGACGAGCTCCTCGAACTTGAATGCAAACAATAACACCAGCGGATGCGTGATGTAAAATGGACAGCAAGTCTTGAGACGATATATACATGCGTTGTCCAATCTAGGCCAAAAAATCATTGAATTATTCGAATGTTTTGTTGCAACTTGCAACTACGTTGCTGATTTGTCAACACGTGACTGACGCGTCGCGTTTATCCAGGCAAGCACGCACAAATATTCATAACCGGTATAAATATCGCGGGGTATCCTGGAATCACCCCGTCGAATATCTTGCCAGCATTACCCTACATTCAACGATATTCTGCCAACATTATGATTTCTACTACCTTCTACGTTGCTTCACGTTTCACCATTACGGCCTTAATCTCGGTATCGTTCTTCGAGGAAACGGTTCTCCGTCCAATCCGATCTGGACCAAGGAAGGGTACCGCCGGCCTCGTCGTGTCGGCATTCAAGTCGACAATTATCTTGATCCTAGCTGCCGATGAGGCCGCTTCAATGTATCTGAGCAACGATACCAGTGGATCCTCCACTGGTGGGCACGGTCCCGATGCAGCACCAAGGCTGCTGGGAACGACGTGCCCAGCGTGCAAGTTACATCAAGGTACTCCGGATCGTCACCCACCCGCGAATTTCGTGTTGCCAGTTCCAGCCCGGAGGTCTTTTCTACAGTCATCTCCATCTTCAGTGTCATCGTCACCTGTATTCAGATCGACGATATCACACAACATAACTACTCTCGATTTGTCATACTCAGGCAATTGTAAACGCCTCTCCATCACATCAAATACTACCCTTGTAGCCTGCGACGACGACCGCTTGAAGGACGTCTTGCTACCACCCTCATTGTCATCGTCACCTGTATCCATATCAACAATGCCCAACGACATCACTACTCCGGATTTGCCATATTTCGACAACTGTAAGCGCCTCTCCATCACATCAGATACTACCCTTGTAGCCTGCGACGACGACCATTCGAAGGACGTCTTGCTACCATCTTCGTTGTCATCGTCACCTGTATTCAGATCGACAATATCGCACAACATCACTACTCTTGACCTGTCGATCACATCAAATACTGCCCTGGTAGCCTGCGACGACGACTGCTTGAAGGATCTCTGGCTACTATTTTCATTGTCATCGTCACCTGTATTCAGATCAATGCCCAACGACATAACTACTACCCTCGATTTGTCACATTTCGCCAATTGTAAGCGCCTCTCTATCGCATCAGATACCACCCTTGTAGCCTGCGATGATGACTCAAAGGTCATCTTTTCTGACAAGGTACGGAGTATCATATCTAACTTTTCATTGCCTAACATTTGGATCACTCCAGGACAACACTATACCACAGCCTGGGGTGCGAGCACCAGCGCACGCTACAGATAATGTCCGCGTTGATGTCCCAACCCCAAGTACAACCATCGACATTATTAGCCCCTTCTGTACGCCGTACATTCAGCCACTTGTCCTACTAGCCGACAAATGCCGGACAACGCCTACGTGTACTACTAGCCATTCTGTTCCTGGATCCGTACACCTCACGGATGCCCCGCTTCAGACGACGAATTCCCTCCATAGCAGTCCATCCGTAGTCCCCAAGGATGACTTCGTACACTTGGAGGGCGTCTTCACTGGCACTGACGAAGCATTAGACACCAAAGACGTCGAACACCACATCGACACCCTGCCCCCATGCATGCCAGCTCTCATCGCCAACAATGGTCTCGTCATAGAAAATGCTCTCCCTGTCGAAAATGCTCTCGCCATCCGCAATGTTCCCTCTCATCCGCCAAACTTTCGGCCACTTGCTCCACTCAATAGTTTCCCAATGTCATCGTCTACGAAAACTGACACTAACCCTTCTGAATCCGCCCGACCCACTGACGTGCTAGCTCACAAGACCAAGGCTGCTGCCTCCTGGCTAAAGCCCCTGATACTCGTTACTAAATATGCCGCTGATCGACTCATCCCTCTACCTCTCACAGCGCTTCCTGAGAAGTCGCGCCCATATAAACTGAAGCAGCAGAAGGTACGGGCATATTCATCATCAGGCTTGGCATGTCACTCATCATACTTCGTTAGCGCAAACCTGCTAGATCTTTGCGAATGGACTCTGCTTGCCACAGCATCGTGCGTTCTCGCCTCCGGCGACACGCCCACAGGATCGGTCGGTCATTCCTTTTCAAACCGTAATTGCTTATTGATTTCGGTACTACTAGTCGGCCACCTTGCGCAAGTCTGCAAACAGATTTGTGCCGATCAATCATCCCTCATGGACGGCTGGGTCACTGCCATGGCGGAGGTGGGGCTCACCTCGATGCTGGTCGGCGACCACCGGAAGTCGCCAGGATCGCAGCTCCCTCTTACATTAGACACATTTTATGTTTTAGAGCCTGGTTCGCGAATCAAGGCCCGTCTTGCGTCACTTCGCCATCGAACAAATGCAGTCGTGGCCACGATTCCAGCTACCACCACTTTTCCACCTTTGCTACCCCGGCGAGACACTTGCTGACACCTCTAACGTTTTACGCCCCTCCATTGCGGCTTCACTAATACTTACAACACTGACAACTACCGCCTACTGACAACAAACACTGCGATAGCCCACCAAGGTCACAGGCCACACATACCAACGAGAAAATACGACGCCATCATGACATGCATCATGATACTAACACCATGACACTATCAAGCGAGACCGCTCTCATGAACGGGCTACGACGCTCAGACAAAGACCGTTTCCCGATACTTACGACAGACAACGCCTATCACCACGGTTCACAACATTCTGGACTTGCTCAACACAGGCCACAAGCTGACGAGAAGAGCACGATATCATCACGACCATTGAATGACATGCATCACGATAGTAATGCCACGGCACTACCAAGCAAGACCACCCACGACACTCAATTTCGCGATACTTACGACGGACAACGCCTATCACCACGGTTCACGACATTTCAGACTTGCTCAACATAGGCGACAAGCTGACCAGAAGAGTATGACATGCATCGCGATACTAACGCCACACCACTGGCAAGCAAGACCACCCACGACACTCAGACAAACACCATTTCACGACACTCACGACAGCCAACACTCACCTCCATAACACAACGATATCCATGACGCTACGAAGCCATCAGAATGTTTCGCGAGAACTCACGCTACCACGATACCATCAACAAGGACCACTTTCCGTTGCTCACCACTAATCTCATCATGACCCACGTCCCAGTCATCATTGGCAAATATGATGCTGACAGCGAAACAAATTTCGACTTTTAGAGACCGTGTAACTTCATCAGTTTGCTAATCATGCTTGACTCGGATATCTGTATTACTTGTTTTCCTGACTCGCACTGCCTACTCTACGTCATCTTGTATTTACTGAATAATCCTTGATGATAAGATTCCTTGCCTCAGGCTGCTCACGTATCTTTGGAATGAATGTCATGATTACTCGCGATCGGATTCGTCCACGGAGATTGAAAAATACTTTTCCTCTTAGAGCTATTTGCTGTGCCGCAGTACTATCAACACAAGTTGTCGACCCGGCATTCTCTTGACATTGGTTTCGCTTAGGCTGTCTGCCACCTGCTCCAGAGGTTACCACCAAATCGAACCGTTTTTGATAGCCTACTGGCAGGCCAAAGAGTGAACCAGAATCTTTCTTTCAAGGATAAGCTTCATTTATCGAGCCTTGCCAAGTTGCGGCCACTGGCATGCCTCAGACTCCGAGGGCTACCAGTCATCATCATCTAATTCGATTAAAATTCGATTGCAGAATTCCTATGATGTTGTACGTCCGAGTCTGCTTCCGGTGGTGGGACTTGGAGGAGTCAGGTCGATCTAGGCCTGTATTGTTAATGAATTGATTATTCCGCTGACGCCTTGGAAAAAACTCGAGTCCTGATATCCCTGACAGCGAGCTGCAACACGAATAGCTTTTTGAGACAGTATTGTCATTGATAGGCCAGTAACTTCACCTTGATTTCATACAACAATAAACTCACTGCATGCACAGCCAATCCGAGAGCTGATTCGAGTCCTGGATGTTCCGATCATAGGACAGCATCATTAGCAGTCCACCTCGACTTCGCCACACACCGACATTATCCCTCAAATAGGACGGTGTTCTCAAACGAGTTGCAATTGTGAAACCAAAATTATGGGGATGGTAGCTATTATGCAAGTTTGTGAAACAAGTCAGATGTGAATGTCGCCTGCAATGATCTTACAGCATTTCCCTGATCCGTGCCAGCCGCAAATTACAAGAAGCTCTCGAGAACGGCATCACAGTCGTACGTGCACGGTGCAATCGCTGATAAATCCATCAAAACAGGTTTTTGAAATGCGGTGTTTATATCGCGCCCACAGCGAAAACCAGCTTCAATCAAGTCGGGCCCCGCGATGTACTATATCTACGAGTATCAGTACTCACTATTCGGGTATTCAAGTTCGCCATTCACTGACCCCAACTCCCTTCAATATGACCCTAGTTTTCAAATAGTCCCAACATGTGGCCGTATATCGAATTCGATCGTATGGAAAGCTATTATGTAGGTTCGTAAAGCAAGCCGGTTGTTGTTGGCTCTATCATCGACCTTTTAGTAATTGGTTCCAGTTGGGTCCACTGTTGTGGTGATATATGATTGGGGTAAGCAGGACACGGGTTACTAGTTGCTGAAGAAGTTCCTGATGTTTCTGTGCTACTCTCAAGCTCTGACATTCGAACGAGAGGTAGGTTGATGTCATTGCCAGAGCTGCCGTCTCATCACTTACGGTTTTGTAGGTTGAACTAGTCTGGGTGAGCGCAGTACTATGTTAGAAGTCTAAGAACAACTAAATGATTTTCGAACTCGAAATAGAAGCGACGCTGGTCCGTCATGAGTGTCTTATATCTCGCTGTACGTACCTTACCAAGTTACAATTGGCAAGTGCGCTTACCTTACGACATTCCAGTTGCGCTATGGTGGAATACTATATGCTGTGTACGTTTGCAAGGCCAACACGTTAGCACTGTACTAATAAGCTATTTCTCGTAACCAGCCTCGATATACCGGGTGTGTCTCTCCGACTCTTCATGTCTTCTCACATATATCAAACTGTGGCATGTAGCAAATATCACGACAGTCTACGTGACAGATGCTGTGAGTAGTCCGAGCAATGCGTCCCATTACCGTCCAACTCACGATTCTCTCATGTAGGGGTGAGTGACATTCTGGATATCGTTGATTAAATGTAACATCTGAACAGCTGTGAGATCGAACTTAGTCCCATATAATGCTCATTGCTGATTGTCTTTTTCAGGCACGTTTTTCGATTTCGAACAATGGTGGACATTTACCATCGCAAACATCATCCTGGGTGGTGAGCTACTTGGCTTCGATATATGAATAGTGCTATTAATTTGGCTGAAATATCATGCTAGTGATCATGATCGCTCGGTTGCATGCCATGTATCAGCGATCGAGAAAAATACTCATCTTTCTCGTTGTATTCTTCCTTACCGTGGTGATTACTAGCGCAGTAATCACGGTGATACAAAGCTCGCATCTTACAGGAGGTAAGCTTTGGTAACGCATGTAGGATTTCAAAGTGTCAAACTCATGAGACAAATAACAGAGGAGCTCGTTCTCTCCGGTACTCATCAGTGCAATTACGAGGGGAATAGCTTTCTTCTATCAGCTGTCACTTGGATACTCGGCACTGTATGGGAAGCCCTTGCATTGTATCTTTCAGTCCGTATTGCTATAAAGCATCTCCGCGAACGACTATCGACAGGATCGATTATTGAGGACTTTTTCACGATGTTAATAAAAAGTCATGTATTTTACTTTGCAAGGTGAGCTTGTAACGTGAGCGACTTATTGTTTTAATGCTGAAGTTCCGCACATTAGCTTTGTTGCTGTTGCTTCCTTCCGCATTAGCTTCGCCTCTCCAAATCTACTGGTGGGCCCATCCGCTGCTGGCTCATATCCATCTGACTGCTCCTCGATTGTGCAGAACGAAAGTTCTGTGGGAGCTGAGCTTTATTACGCTGTTGCGCTACTTTCCTCGCTCTTGCAGATGTTTTTACTGGGACCGCGCCTGGTGCTCAGCGTTCGAGAACACAGCACTAGGCTTGTGGTTGACTCCGACAGAGCAACTGTCATGACTACGATTGTATTCCAGGAGTGCACACCCGTGTCGACTGATGGTGGTGTGTAATATAGGAAATACTCCATGACATTGACATCTTGGCATTGGTGTATTACAGGGAGGTTGAGAATGCTGTTTGGATTTCGGAGTTTCGCCATGGTACCGTACGATTGATATGTATATATTTTCAATTATGTTCGAGAAATAGCCTCGCCATATATTTGGCAAACCCAACACGTGTAGTAAAATGTGACTGGCCAGGCGTCCGCGTCAGCGCCATCCGTAAGGCATAATCAATGAAAGCTAAGCAGCAGTGTCATCTTATCTTTGAGAATGTCAATTAGCAATTTCACATATCTGGGGAGCATGAATAATATCTAAACTTACCAGAGGCATGTGAGACTGATGGGAACCTTAGAAACACACAAGTGTGTTGCTATATGTCTGAGGGAGTGGTGTTCAACGTTCAACATGCGAGGTCGGCTCTCACAAGCTTGTGGCGCGGGAAAGTGTCCGCATAAGGCAAGTTCAGACTTGGGGGATTTTGTCATCATCATTTTGATGATGATCATTAGAAGTCCACCTCGACTTCGCCACACGCGCATTGACACTATCCCTCAAATAGGACAGTGTTCTCAAACGATCCCAGGTCGTTGTTGTCAAATCAAACTTATCAGGATGGTAGCTATTATGCAAGTTTGTGAAACAAGATGCCAATGATCTTACAGCATTTCCCTGATCCGTGCCAGCCGCAAATTACAAGAAGCTCTCGAGAAACGGCATCGATATATAACGAGTCGTACGTGCAATCCATAAACAGGTTTTTGAAACGCGGTGTTTATACCGCCACAGCGAAAACCAGCCTAAATTCAATCAAGTCGGGCCCCGTAATGTACTATATCTTCGAGTATTAGTACTCACTATTCGGGTACTCAAGTTCCCCATTCACTGACCCCCACTCCCTTCAATATGACCCTAGTCTCAAACAGTCCCAGCATGTGGCCGTATATCGATTTTGATCACATGCAAAGCTATTATGTAGGTTCGTAAAGCAAGCCGGTTGTTGTTGGCTCTATCATCGACCTTTTAGTAATTGGTTCCAGTTGGGTCCACTGTTGTGGTGATATATGATTGGGGTAAGCAGGACACGGGTTACTAGTTGCTGAAGAAGTTTCTGATGTTTCTGTGCTACTCTCAAGCTCTGACATTCGAACGAGAGGTAGGTTGATGTCATTGCTGGCAAAGCTGCCGTCTCATCACTAACTGTTTTGCAGGTTGAACTAGTCTGGGTGAGCGCAGTACTACTATGTTAGAAGTCTAAGGACAACTGGATGATAACTCAAAATAGAAGCGACGTTGGTCCGTCATGAGTGTTTTATATCTCGCTGTACGTACCTTACCAAGTTGCAATTGGCAAGTGCGCTTACCTTACGACATTCCAGTTGCGCTATGGTGGAATTCTATACGCTATGTATGTTTGCAAGGTCATCACGTTGATACTCAAGCTGCGCTAATCAGCCATATCTCGTAACCAGCCTCGATATACCGGGTGTGTCTCTTCGACCTTTAATGTCTTCTCACATATACCAAACTGTGGCATGTAGCAAATATCACGACAGTCTACGTGACAGATGCTGTGAGTAATCCGAGCAATGCGTCCCATTACCGTCCAACTCACGATTCTCTCATGTAGGGGTGAGTGACATTCTCGATGTCGTTGATCAAATGTAACATCTGAACAGCTGTGAGATTGGACTTGGTCCCCTATAATGCTCATTGCTGATTGTCTTTTTCAGGCATTTTTTTCAATTTCGAACAATGGTGGATGTTTACTATCGCAAACATCATCCTGGGCGGTGAGTTATTTAGTTTTAGTACACCGCTATTATTAACTTGGCTGAAATATCATGCTAGTGATCATGATCGCTCGGTTGCATGCCATGTATCAGCGATCGAGAAAAATGCTCATCTTTCTCGTTGTATTCTTCCTTGCCTTGACGATTACTAGCGGAGTAATCACGGTAATACAAAGCTCGCATCTTACAGGAGGTAATGCAAAAATGATTTTAGAGTGTCAGACTCACAAGACAAATAACAGAGGAGGTCGTCCTCTCTGGTACTTATCAGTGCAAAGACTGGGGAAATAGCTTTCTTCTATCAGCTGTCACTTGGATACTCGGCACTGTATGGGAAGCTCTCGCGTTGTATCTTTCAGTCCGTATTGCTATAAAGCATTTCCGCGAACGACTATTGACAAGATCGATTATTGAGGACGTTTTCACGATGTTAATAAAAAGTCATGTGTTTTACTTTGCAAGGTGAGCTCGTAACATGAGCAACTTATTGTCATTTTAACGCTGAAGTTCCGCACGTTAGCTTTCTTGCTGTTGCTTCCTTCCGCATGAGCTTGGTCTCTCCAAATCTACCGGTGGGCCCATCCGCTGCTGACTCATATCCATCTGACTGCTCCTCGATTGTGCAGGACGGAATTTCTGAGGGAGATGTGCTTTATTTCGCTGTTGCGCTGATTTCCGCGCTTTTGCAGATGTTTTTGCTGGGACCGCGCCTCGTCCTCAGCGTTCGAGAACACAGCACTAGGCTTGTGGATGACTCCGACAGAGCAACTGCCATGACTACGATTGCATTCCAGGAGTGCACAGTCGTGTCGACTGATAGCGGTGTGTAGTATGGGAAATGCTCCATGACATTGATATCTTGGCGTTGGTGTATTGCAGGAAGGTTGAGAATGCTGTTTGGATTTCGGAGTTTCGCCATGGTACCGTATGATTGATATGTATTATGTTTGAGAAATAGCCTCGCCGTATATATGGCAAACCCAACACGTAGTAAATGTGACTGGCCAGGCGTCGGCGCGCATCCCTAATTATAAGGCATAACTAAGCACTTATCTTCGGGAATGTCAATTAGCAAGTTTACATAATGAGGCCTCCGAAGTAACTTTCAAACTAGAATCAATTGCGAGATGACCGATGTGATCAGCTTGCTCACATTTTCAGACACATCCAAGGCATTTACAGCTTACCGGTCCACAGTAGTCGACGTTGATAATCAGTCGGCATCTCATCCACGCAAAACTCCACGCTTGGACGCCGACTCTGACTCCGGTTCTGCATCCAGGTCGCGCGATAGTGTTAAAGGCAAGAATGTCGACAGAGGTGGCCCAGTAAGGATTCAGGTCCATGGTTTTGCAGGTTTGCATTCCATTTTGTTCTTGAGGTGTGGCGCTCATGTCAGGATGGTGGGCATTGTAGGCGGTATCGTCGGATCTGCGTTGAACAAGGTTTCTGATAACTTGTTTGTGCGGCTATCTCGCAGCATCAGGGCACTCTTGGAGAAAGGATCTAATGAGTTGAGTACGACGTATGAGGGTGTCTACACCGCATGCCGGGGCGTCGTGTGTGTTGCTGGGAGGGGTGAGGGTTTGTATGAGATGTTGAAAGCCGAAATCCATAGATGCGTCAATCGGCTGGCGGAAGAGCTTGAGAAAACCAATAAGGAGGGTGTAGAGTGGATCGGACATTTCGTCGAGACGTGTGCATGGTTTGAGGGACAAGTGGTGAGTGACATACAATGAGTTTTGGGATTTGCCAGGTTATTGATTCACGGATTCATGTCAAGGCACTGCTGGAATCACTCCTTACCTACCTCGATCGTGCTTATGTGCTCAAGAATCCTAGTCTTCCTTCTATTCAGTGACTTTTTCTTCATGAGAACTCTTTGCACGTGCTGACGCTCAGAACTTCAGCGACCTCGCATTCACTCGTTTCAGAGAGCGCATATTTAGCGGTTATTTCATTGTGGAAAAGCTTCAGAAAGGCATATCCACATGGGTCACATGGGAGAGGAACGAAGGGTACGTTCTTCGATATTCATTCCATTCATCTGCCTAGACACAACACTCACCCATCAACCAGACAGGTGCACATCCACCGCCCCTTCCTTAAAGAGCTTGTCTCCCACCTCATCACACACCACGTTTACGATGCGATCTTCGAGCGACACTTCGTCGAGCAGACTCGGGAGTACTTCTCAAAAGAGTCGTATCAGATGGTCGAGGTCGAGAAAGCCAAGGCGAAGGTATTCCTTGCGCACTGCAACCAGCGGACGAATGAGGAGCAGGGTAGAGCAAGGGATGTGATGCTCGATGGTACGATCGCGCTTGTAAAGGATGCCGCTATTCGGGCGCTGTTTGAGGGGAGGCTAGAGTGGATGGCTAAAGAAGGTTAGTGTGACTGGGTTCATGGAGTCGTCGTGCTGACATTGTGCAGTCTTCATGGAGTGCAAGGGCACTGCTGATCTGAAGAAAGCGTATGCGCTGTTTTCATCGGTAGACGGCCTGCCCGTGCTTTGCCGGGAGTTCAAGGCTTATGTCCAGGTGGGTGTCTCATCAGCTCTTTCCCCAAACTCGCGCTGATATATTCATGCTCTAGAAAACAGTTCAAGATCTCGTGAAAGATGCATCCAAGGACGACGAGATGGTCAACCGTCTCCTCGAGTTCAAGTCCTTTGCAGATACAACACTGAAGGAAGCATTCCTCGATCCTTCCACTAAGCAAAACAACCAAGACTTTTCCTATGGGCTCATCGATGCGTTCACCAAGGGGTTCAAGGCGCGGCGTAATAAGCCTGCCGAGCAGATTGCGAAGCATGTCGATAGACTTATGCGCCATGGACAGCGGGGCATATCGGATGCTGCGTTTGAGGCATTGCTGGATGCTGCTCTTGCTCTCTATAGGTTTACGGATGATAAGGATGTGTTCAGAACGTTTTATCATCGGGCGCTAGCGAAGAGATTGTTGCTGGAACGCAGTGCATCTGATGATTTTGAGAAGGCCATGCTCAAGAAACTCAAAGAGAGTATGTGATATGGTACCTTTTGTTTTTGAAGTCGCGTGCTGATCATTGGTGGGCAGAATATGATCCAGAGTTTGGGATGGGAGATCATATGTTCAACGACCTTGCGCTTTCGCGAGATATCATGCGGGAGTATCACGCTCGTATCAGGGATGACAGCTCCGCAAAGAAACTCTCTGTCATGGTTTTGCAACGCAGCGTCTGGCCGTTCCTTGCGCGAGAGAAAGATGTGGACTTGCCTTCTTCGGTGAGCGATACGGTTTCCGGTGTCCGCGTGAGCTCATGACAATGACTAGATGCAAGCAGATCTGAATCATTACACAACTTTTTACAAGATCAAACATCAGGGGCATAAACTCGATTGGGATCATTCGCTTGGGACAGCTACGGTAAAGGCGCGGTTTGCGGCTGGTCCTAAAGACCTCACAGTCAGCTTATACCAAGCTGTCGTGCTACTTCTCTTCAATAAGGAGACAGAGATCGGGTATAGATACATCCTAGAGGAGACGCGTATGGGCAAGTATCGGTTAATTTTCACGATTGTTATGAGATACTGACGTGAGTTCCAAAATAGACGACGGGGAGCTGAAGAGGACGTTGCAGAGTCTGGCATGCGCGAGCAAGAAGGTGTTGAAGAAGCGTCCGGTAGGGAAGGACGTGAACGATAACGACGTCTTTTACTTTAATCCGGAGTTCACCGATCCGCGGGCGAAGGTGCACATCAACTCTATTCAGGCGAAGGAGACGGTAGGTTTCTCTTCTTGTGATGAAGCGCATCTACACCTCTTATTCGGTTGGTTGTCCTGTAGGCCGAGGAAAACCAACGGGCTCAATCGCACATCGAGGGAGACCGGAAGCACTATTTGGATGCAGCGATTGTGCGGATTATGAAAGCGAAGAAGGAGCTTTCACATGAGCAGTTGAAGAATGAGACGATTGATGCTGTGAAGAGTCACTTTGTGCCGGACGTGAGCGTTATTAAGCAACGGATTGACGGACTTGTCGAGCAGGAGTATTTGAGACGGGATGAGGAGGACCGCAATTTGTATATTTACGTAGCGTAGGGACGTATGATGTGTACTGACGACGTGATATAGGTGCATCGTTTGTTGGCTATCGTGGCTCGACGTTCAACGCTCATGTCTGTTTTTTGAGGGTCATTTAACATCTGCACATGCACGAGGAATCCCAAGGAAAAACACTTTCCTTTGTTGATAGCGTAGCTCGACATCATACACCAGCGGTTTTCACGGCTGTCACTACCTTCCTTTTTGGATGACGATGAGATGGAACTATTGGCCGAACGGTATTCAAAATCTGTCTGGGCACTGTCGTATCATGCAATTGGTCCACTGAGACAGGTCTAAATCAGCGGATGGATTCGACCGGACCATCAGCGTTGTCCAACATGGTCCTCAGAAATTCGGATATTTTTCGATGGAGGTTTTCTGGGTAGTGGTCAACTGTTTGCAGACCAGCAAGAAAATGATGGCTTACTGGCGCGGTCGACCGCTTGGATATATTCTTCATTTGCGTCTTGCGTTTGTTGTTCCAGTGCTTGAAGTCGGTTTGCCTGTTCCACAGTTACATTTTAGCTGTATCAAAACCTGCGTACGCCTGACCTGCTGCTGTTCTGGTTCAGGGACCGGTAACGACTGAATGAGATATTCGATTTGTTTTGCCTTAACGATAAGATCCTGAACGAGCTCGTTCATGTTTGCTAAAACGTTGTTTAATCACCACGACTGCACGCATGCCTAGTCACACACACCTTCGAATAATTCCGGGGCATCGTACTTATCCGGATTGCGAATCTTTGTTATAGGTATCCGCTCGCTGACTTGCAGGAACGTAGACCTGGCAGTGAGGTAGGTGATGGTGCTTGACATGATTGTTAGGAGCTGAAACGTGCTGCTTAAAATTTTTAATTGGGTTAAGAGAGAATGGAGCACCCACGCGTTGGATTTCATCTTGGAGTTGAGTGATACGGTCCATGTGCGAGAGTTCCTGCAGCATGGCGCTGCCGGAGGGGCAGGGAGCTTGTGTGGCAGAATCTTGGTTGTAGGTTTGACAGCTTGGATCGTGATGCTTACTCATCACACTTGATCTGCTACAACCAACATGGGGAATGATGGAGGCAGCATTCCCGACAGACGCGACCTCGTAAAGAACAAAAAGAAGGCAGAACAAGCAGACAAAGCAAATCAGACTCGTGCTGTATGGTTTTTCTGTGCTCTTTCAAAGGTGAGCATATTTTGTTTCGGCGGCTGAATGCTTCTCATGGACTTCCTAGCGTCCCTTGCAAGAGCCTATCGTGTCTTGTGCTCTTGGGAAACTGTATAACAAGGATGCCATAATTGAACATCTACTTGATAAGACCGCCTATGGAGATGCGGCGAAAATATGCGGACATATACGTTCGTTGAAGGTACGTGATAGCTCTGGTATCACCATTAACATTTAACTGACTTATCACTCGTTAGGACATCAAAGTCCTTAAACTAACCCAAATATCTCCACCTCCTCCGCCTGATTCATCTGCTGATGTCGCCAAGTTCGTGTGCCCGCTGACGTTCAAGGAAATGAACGGCGGACAACCTTTCGTTTACATCTTGACTTGTGGATGCGTTTTCTCTCAATCTGGTCTGCGTACCGTCCTTGGTTCTTCGCCTTCGAACGGAAATACTGCCGCGGACGAACAACTAGAAGTCTGTCCACAGTGCGCGACCAAATTCTCTAGGTCGTCTGACATTTTCATGATAAACCCACCCTTGGAAGAGGAGGAACGTATGTACGCTGCGATGGAACTTCGTCGTTCACTAGAGCCTGCGAAGAAGTCAAAGAAGCGTAAGGCTGGTGCAGATGCTGTGGCTGACGAGGTCGGTACCAAGAAGAAGAAAGCATCCCCAGAGGGTCACTCGCCTTCTCCAGCACCAGGTTTGAACCCGAAGATATCTGCAGCATCGCGATCTCTTGCCCAGAGTCTTGCTGTGGAAGAGGCGAAGAGGAAGGCTGGCATGAGCGATGCGGTCAAGTCGTTATACCGGGACAAGAACGATGCTCCTAGGAAAGAAACGTTTATGACTATGGGTACTTTTACAAGAGTGAGTCATTCATTTGCTCATCGCATTGGTTCGAGACGTTGACTTGGGTTTTGTACAGTATGCGTAAATACCGACTTTTATTGGGTGTAGCTCTGTGTATGATACTATATTACATAATTCATACATTTTGTATGGTTTGTTTCTTTTGCTCAAATGTATAGGTTCTGGCCGCTGAATTTTTCAGCTTTAGCAAGGATCAAGATCCTTCCACCTGCAACAGATGTAATGACTCGTCATTTGAAAAACAGATACGACAAACAAATGGTTCGGCTCTTCAGGGTAGGATCGTGCCATTGCAAGGGCTCACTCAACTCTGCCGGTTTTTTTTTTTCAGGCCCCTTCACACAACGGGTGCATTTTCCCCCTCAGAGGTGCGGCCAATCGACTTCCACAGCCTCGCTTGCGCGCGCGGCATTTATACACTATGATACAAGAAGGTTGGCACCATCGTTGAGGTTCTTTACCATCCCGCGGAATCCCGGTTCATTATTTACAAACTACAATTCGTTGTTCATCCGTCCCAGAATGTCCATGACCGCAACTCGTTCAAATAAGGTTGATTTCCCTAGTGCTTGTGAAATGAATTTATCTCTCGATTTGGGTGTCATGCGAAAGAGTTGACGTAGATGCTCGTCTGTGCAGAGGCCAGCCCGGACGATGGCTGAATGAAAATGAAGAAGACTTGGTGTTGCTGAATCTAAGCGAGCGGATAGGAGAGCTATACGTGACGAGGCAGACCGGGTACGTCTGCTTATCAGGCCGCGTTCTGGAGAGACGCAAGGACAACTGGGAAGCGACTTTCGACGACAGTGACACTGTAAGATATATTGGGCAATAAACTTTACAGTGGAATAGGAAATCCAAACCTGTGTCTTCCGAGCCAATTTCAGCTGATTGTCATTTGTTAGCACAATCCATTAGCAATCCTCAAAAGATGATCAAAATCACCTTTTCTTCAACCAATTTAAGACGTTGGAAATACAGGTTACGAACCAGTACATCAACCGCCCAGCCGTCTTCGTATTGTATCATGAACGATAATTCTGTGTCCAGTAGTACCTGCAATCCAGATTTCAGACTCGAACATGCCCGCGCTCTGTCAAAGTACAATGGAATAATATCTCTCACCTCGCGTTTTAGAAAATCCAAGCGAGATTGAGGCAGATCTCCGTACAGTTTGGATAGGTCCAAATGACGAATAATCAATTTCCGAATTTTTCTCTTAATAGAGGCAATAAGCCGAGCCTTCAATACGACACAAATTTCAACAGTCACTTGCCTTGGCATACCTGAGGGTACATTGGTCGATGCGTAACGCTGAATTGAAACAGCGTATAGGAGTTCGAGATTGAAAGAGTTTTCTGAAGGTTCTCTGCGAAGGGCGCTTGATAACGAAGAAATCTGCGTCTGGCGATGCTGCTCAGCCATCGTTATCATGCACGAGTATGATGATAAGTTGATTGTCGTCCGAACAACAACGGTGCACAAAACCCACATCTTCTGGAGTCGCCTATACTCTGCACAGACCAGGCGGAGGAAGACATTCTTTGGTAGGTCTGTCTGCAGCGGCTGCTCAACGATTATCAATTTATCACGATGGTCTTTGATGATTTGGCAGCTGAGTCGCGTGCAGTCTTTGTTCACTATAATCTCAGCGCGTGTGCCCGTCTTCTCGGCTTGTTCTCCTATTAAGGCTATCGTAAAATGCATGTAACATACCTAAATGTATATGACTTGCCTCGATCCCTCTTCTTGCGGCTGCCGATGTTTAATGTCCGATGAGAGACCCAGTCGATGTGCCAGATTTTTCCTATCTTTGAGGAATCGAGCGCGATAACTCGAACGCGAGGAGCTAAGGTTGAGAACCCTCGATTCCGGACTTCAAAATGACCCTGATAACTCCTTCAAAGACACCGCACATCCCCTTCCGTCCACCCTCGTGTCAGTGATTAATCGATCACCCCATACCAAGTACCGAGGTAACTGTGACTCAACGACTAGGATGCGGGTGCGAGTCTGTCTGAGTGAGTCAACTTGAAATTTGAACACGTGAATCTCAAACGATCAGTGATCATGAAGAGTTGTTCTGATCGGGGGAAATGTTCTTCATACAACTAACTTCAAGTTGGACGATTCGGTCGTTAATCCGGATCTGCCTCTGGGTGAGTAGTTGTACAAGTCAAGCTGCTGACTCGGAATTGCAGTTACCTACAACTTGTGGCATTGAAGTTGCAAGTCACTGCACAATTCCGTACTTACCGGACTTGCCGTGATGCTCCGGTCACCACATGCACGTGATCGCGTCACTAATGAACTCCGCTTGAAGCGAAGGACCGAAAGTGGGACTTCACCATCACCAGCGCTATATATATCATTACTTCTCAGATCAATCAAGTACTGATTCATCGCCACAGCATAGCCAGAAATCAGTGATATTCGTGTTACAAAATGTGTTCACATGTGGTGCCAACACTGCTTCTGCCCAAGATGGAATCTATCTACTCAAGCTCGTACTGTTCCTTTCTCCTCCGAATCTCGTACTCGTCTGTTGACGAAGAGTTATAATGTAACACTCTAGGCATAGCCCAACCTAGCCACAGACGGAGCTTCCAGAGAACAAGTTCATCAATTTTCTATATAAAGAATACAAGAACCGCAACTGCAACTTGATCTACACGGTGGAGTGCACAAATATTTACCCGGTATATGTACATATAGCGCGAATGTCACCACTGTACGTGTACCAAGTTCACCTCTCACCCACATCAGCAAAATCACTGATTCACTTTTTGTACTTAAATGACTTAATAAGCACAAATATGCAAAAATCAGCGGGCAACTTAATCAGGCATGTCAATCTCTGATTCTCGTCTTAATCTTACTTATCCCTCTGGTAGTCAGAAGAAAAAGTGCGCATTGCAAACAAACAGGAAAAATAAGGAAATATAAGGCGGCAAAGCAACTTGAATGTATTAGTAATAGTACTGGTAGAAAACGGGTAGGAAAAATGTGCGAGTCTGTTATTGGCATCAGCGGGAAAGAAAAGAAACATTGTGTCAAAGCCCATAGTACTAGGGTAGTATTCTATTTAAAAAAAAGAAGTCAGCAATGATAACGCTAAGTGGAGAGAGAAACTTTACAAATGAGGGCGCGCTCGTCAATGCTCTGAGTCTCCTCCATATCTTCATCCGAGGCATCTCCCCTCGCAGACTTCTTCATTGTCACGAGTTCCAAATACAAACCATTATACGTTCCTAAATTCTAAGTCCTTTAAGCGCCCAGTCACAGCGCCTGTTACTAAGAAAGTATTTATAGTCGAAGATGTCCCAACAACGGCGTCTATTGTAGAGTTACCTAAAGAACCTATGAACGAGTCACGTGACTTATCGGAGTATGCCGGACTAAACTTTATTCCAAACGACCCTGACAGAATGTTCCAGAACCTTACGGTTGTTGCAGCACACGTCATGACATCATAGTTATATATAGAATCGTACGATATCATCTTATTATTTGATTGGTAGATAGTTCAGACTCAGTTTCGATCTCAGTTACAAATATGTGTATATAGGTAGTGTCTTGTAGTCAGTAGTTCTTTAGTTCAAACCTCTTGTATCTCCTAGTGAGCAATCCGAGACGTACCTGCTGCCTTATCCTCTTGTGATTATCTTGTTGTTTGAGTCCTAGTCTCTGCCCAGCGTTAATTCGTTATTGGGTTGTGACATTAGGTTTGAACTATAGGAGACTCCGACTCTCGCGTTACACTCTCGCACATCTCTTTCTTTGCTTGGCCATATTGAAAGTCCTTTCATATTGTCATTCAAACAAAGCCGTTTACTCTTTGCCCGGTCTAAACAACCGAGATCTTTTTATCATCCTTTGCTCACTTGAGCGCAAAACTTCATACCTATCCGCTTTATTAGTTAGTAGTCCTATACCAGGCCCTGTCTTACCACAGCCGCCAGTATACGGAGGTGTTGACGACATTAGGCGTCTCGCTACAACTTTGAGTGCTGGCCCAAAACCCTGCCTGCTCAACGTTACTATAGTTTCTTTTTACCTATCCCTTTTTCATCATGCACGTAGGCATTCGTATCGAGTCAATAGCGGAACTGTCTAGACGACAAACCGTGCTTTCGACCTACGAGGATTTAGAGACATACCCTAGTGAGACTTGCACTTGTAAGCTTCGGCTGGAAGAGTGATAACTTGTCCTAGGCTTGTACCCTCAAAACGGAGATTGCATTGTCTCTAGTTTTTCCCACTCAATCGAGTGTAGTTACATATCCTTTCTAGTCAGTATTAGGGAAGCGTCAGTGTGGGATTTTACCAGAACCCCTTGACCCTGAGCCAGTGGTAGATCCGATCAGATATCGGGGACCGCTCAGTTTTCCGTTACATAACTTTCTTCTTTTCATCATCATTCCCTTTCGGAAGAGCCCTTACGAGCAGCTCTTCAAAGACATCAGTAAATCGGGTTCCAGAACACAACTGGTACTATGTCTTCTCAACCACAACAACCGCAACCGGCGCAAACTCAGGAGCAATGGTTCCTGCAATACGTACAGGACCAAATCTCCGCTACCAGTAGCATCCTTCTGCAGAAAATAGCAGAGCTAGAGCAAAAGAACCAGGAACTAGCCACTAAAAATGGAGACCTGGAATTACGCTTGAAAGCACAGGAGGATGAATCGGTCAGGAGAGCCGCTTCGCAACCATCATTCGGAACAGCGGGGGCTGCGATGATGGCACCCTCAACCCCAAACATTAAATTCGCCAAACCTACAGACTTCACTGGAGAGAAGGACTCCATAGACGCACAAACCTGGGCTGCTCAAATCTGCCTGTACCAAACACAATGGCCGAACATCACCGAAAAGCAAAGAATCTCGGTCATGCTATCGTTCATGAAAGGAACAGCTGGAAAATGGGCGCAAAAATACATTGAGGAACATGCCCAAGGAAAACTTACCATGGAAAAACTCGATGAAGACTTCTCTGCTATGTGGAAGCAAGAAGATCAAGAAGGGAAGGCGATCAGAGACTTAGATTCTCTGAAACAAGGATCATCAGTCAGTCCCAGAGTATGCAGCCGCTTTCAGACAAAAGGCTGCACACACTTCATTCTCCGACTACGACCAGCGACAGAAGTTCAGAAATGGACTTCAAGACCGCGTCAAAATACAGCTCGCACATGTCCCTTACAAGGACAAAGACACCATGAAGAAACTGGTGGAACACGCGATCCAAATTGGACTGCAATTTCGAAGAGCTAGACGCGGACAAAAAGAAGACTACTGTGGTGGACCCCGAAACAAGGAGGTCCCAGGAACCATGAGTCCAGAGCAGGTCCAAGTAAGGAAAGTGATGCCATGGACGTCGACTCCGGAAAGCAGAAGTGGGCCCCCAAGCCCCAAGGAAAGACTGGATCTTTCAAATGCTACCGCTGTGGAGGAGAAGGCCATATGGCTAGAAACTGCAAAGACGCAGTCGCGCCAAAAGCGCAGGTGAAGGCTACTACAGTGCCAAAGGAAGAGAACTCAATGCCGCAGTGGTTCAAAGACTGGACTGCTAGCAAAGAAGGCAAGGGTTTTTAGAAGGGTCGAAGTCAAAGTCTGCGAACTTAGACCCGAACAATCGTTTCTCCATTCTATCTACGTTTTCGGATGTATCAGAAGTATATATTAAATCCAAATCTGAGCATTTTTATATTCCGATTACGTTGAAAGGAAAGAACCGACAAGCAGACGTGAAAGCGTTAGTGGACTGTGGAGCATCAACACTATTTATAAGTGAAAAGTTTGTGAAAAAGAACTGAGGTCCGGTGTCGTAAATTATTAAGACCTATTCCGGTTAAAAATATTGATGGCTCGCTAAATGCCGCGGGATCAATGACACATTTCGCAGAACTAGGTCTAAAGATCGGTGATCATGTTGAGGATGAAGCAGCCTTCATGGTTACGGACCTAGGAAACGATGATGTTATTATCGGCATAGATTGGCTAAGATATCATAATCCGGAAATAGACTGGAATGCTGGACAATTTGCACTTTCTCGATGCCCGGTTAAATGTATTACAAAAAAAGAACAAAGACAAAAAAATAAAGAAAAACGAAAAGAACAAAAAAAGACAGAAGAAGTGCCAGATCTGATTCCCACAGAAGAGGATGACGAAGAAGACATGGCGATGAAAAGGGCGACGGTCGAGGAAATAGAAGATGAAGAGTATCCTGGAGAATGGATCAAATATAAAGCCTCGGTTGCCACGGAACAGAAGGTTGCAGAAGAAGCAACGAAGGTGAAGAAATCGGTGGAAGAGATGGTTCCCGATTGGCTTCACGATTACCTGGGAGTTTTCTCAGAAGAAGAATCTAAGCGCTTTCCTGAAAGAAAGAAATGGGATCATGCGATAGATCTTAAAGATGACGGCGATCTTCCGCCGAATGCGAAACCCTACCCTTTGTCACCAAAAGAGATGGACACCTTGAAGGATTGGTTGAAAGCTGAAACCGCACTGGGACGAATTAGAGAATCACAATCCCCAGTGGCAGCACCCTTCTTCTTTGTGGCCAAAAAATATGGCAAGTTAAGACCAGGTGATGGACTATAGAAAGCTCAATGAGAAGACGGTTAAAAATGCGTACCCGCTACCGAGATCTCAAGACTTGATTGATGCTTTAACCGGTGCCACGATGTACTCTAAGATGGATGTACGATGGGGGTACAATAATATTCGCATGAAAGAAGGAGACGAATGGAAGGTGGCCTTCAAAACGCCGTTTGGTCACCACGAACCAACCGTAATGTACTTCGGATTAACAAACTCCCCTGCCACGTTTCAAACGATGATGAATGAGATATTCAGAGATCTAA